GAGCTTCGTACTGGTCAGCGGTCATACTAATAAAAGCTGCCGTGGGCTTCCTGTGGATGCTGATCATGCGTGTCGAGCCTTTTTTTTCCCGCCTCTTTCATCTGGAATGCCAAACATGGCTTCTTCTGGTAGGTACTAAGTTTAGATTTGCTTTTGTTTTTCAATTTATAGGTAGGCGTGCCTTAAAAACGTTTTGTTTCTTTTATTGTTTATAATGTGAAAGTTTTACACAATATTTTGATATTATAATTTCTCCCTTGCAGACTTGGTAGACATTGATTCGGACAGGTAAATTAGTCTTGTTTTCACTAATAAAACTTCAAGATGTCTCTCTTGATTAATGCAGCAAAGTGTTTAAATATGCAAAACACACTGATATCAAGAGCTGCTATGCTGTAGATAAAAGTTAATGTGAAGTTTAAAAAACTCTTTTATGGATCAGCTTCCACAGCTGATAAAATATTTCTTTCTAATGTGCAGTTCAGATTCTGTACTCCCTGAGGTATCATGGCTGACACCATGTGCAGAGAAGGATTACAAGGTAGTTTGACACTTCATACATCTTTATAAGAAATTAATAATAAAACACATCTAGACTTTAGCTGTTGTTTGTAGGTCAAAATGGAAGTCATTGAAATATTCAGTTCCCCTGAAACCACACCTATAAAAAACACTCCAGTTATTACCCATCAAGCACCACAGGGGTAAGTAGATTAGGAGGGATTTATGTCTTTTTGAAAGAAAGCAAAACTTCCCTAATTACTTATTTTTATACTTATTATAGTAAAAATGTTAATTATCATCATTATTATTTTTTACAAAAATGACAGTACAATTGTAATGAAAGAAAAGGGGAAATCTCAAAATAATCTATTAAACTATTGTCTTTATTTTGCAGATATAATACAACAAAGATATTGAATTTCRATGAAGAAACTGAAACTGAGGAAAATGTTGATGCTGCTCCAAGGTATTTCCTACAGAATGTCAAAAAGAGAATAAAAACATACAAAAATATTGTTGCTTGTTATTGTAAATCTATTGTTATGTAAATAACACAAATAGAATACTCAGCATCATAGGCAAAGTTTGGGAAATGTACAATRTGTAAGGATATTATGAAAAGGTTATGAAAAGAAAATTATGTCATTTAGTGATTTAGTTCTTGCTTTTTAGGGTATAATGCATACAGTGTTGTAATACAATAAATACTTTATTTGCTTTTGAGAATTATTTTTTACAATATTTTTGTTGATTCTAGAGTATGAATAGATTACTCTTTATACATTTTTGAATAATTTAGATCAGATTATGTATATACTAGAGTAATTCTATTTGAGCCTGGAGGCCTAGTTGCAGAAGAAGCTAATTTGCTATAAATGTAAATTATTTGAAAATTCACAGATTATATAGAAAGGAATATACATGTAACATATTAGCCACACTACGACTCATGTCCAGTCTCCCACAGTATGAAATCTGGCAATTTATTAAATTATAAGACAGAAAAACCTTATGCATTTTTKTCATTTATGCTTTTTTATAGTGACCCACAACAGACAGAGTTTTGTGGTGCTGTACCAGTTTATGTGCGTGGAAACACCAACAGCTATTCAGCTCAAAAGATCTTAAATATTTTGGGAAATCCTCACTCGGAAAATGTGCTGTGCAAGCAACAGCCATGCAGAGTGCAAATAAATGCAGCCTTCCTCATTGACTTGAGAGTTGTAACAATAGAAGACATAGAAGCTGATGACAATGGGGCATATGAGCAGCTGGGAACTCCAACCCACWCATTTCTGCTGCAGTTTAATAATAATCARTCTATTAAATCTGCCAAGAAAGTTGCAGAAAAGAAGGTGCCMGGCAAAGAGCATCACTATCTCATTCGGAAGTACAAGAGGTGCTCATCTTCTCCTGATTTGAAAAGAACGATTTCATACTRTCAGATGCAATCAGGTGAAATTCTTGGCAATATTGCTTTAGTGCAATATAATTTCTCAGCAGCAGAGCACCCATTCCAGATAAGTGCGCATGGCAATGCCAAGAAAAATAAAGTTCCTTATCAGAGGACTAAACAAACCACCAAAGATATCCTGAGATTGAACCTCCAGAGTGAAACACCTAAAGAGGCTGTCCAAAAAACAACTAGGCAGATAGGAGGCATATTAAATGCACAAAGTTCAGCAGAAACACCACGCAACAGGAAGCAAGCATACAACCTAAAACAAGCATCTAAGAACTCCTCTACAGGGTCGACATCTTCTAATGATGTCCTTGCAAGTCTTCTTGCTATGTCCAATGAAGAAAAATGGAATGAGCCCAAAAACTCCTTTATCAGGAGCATCCAATCCCACCCCAATCCTCTATTTCTGGTGTTAGCAAGCAACAYGCAGCTGCAAAACTTAAAGTCATACTGCACTTCTGAGATCTTATCTAGTRTCTTGACTGTTGACCCTACCTTCAACATTGGCCGGTTTACTGTAACCCCTACTACATACCAAGACCTACTGTTAGAGTCCAAACGTACTCAAGAGCATCCTATCTGCATTGGCCCTTTGCTTATCAGCCAGTCATTGACTGAGGATGTCTTTAGTGACTTTGTGTATGTAACTCAAAAGAACTGCCCTGGACTAAGAAAAAACCTCAGGTCATTTGGAACAGATGGGGAAAAGGCACTACATCAAGCTATGTCTKCAGGATTYCCAGATGCTATTAAATTAAGATGCATGAGCCACTTCAGAAACAATGTAAAAGATCATCTCAAAACAGTTGATCCTACTTCAAGGAATGACATCATAAATCAAATTTTTGGATACAACACGGGTGATGGGGTGTATCACGAGGGCATGGTCGATGCCAATTCTCCTGAGATCTTTGATACCTTATTTGAATCTGTCAAAATTGAWTGGTACAAAAARTCCCCAGCTTTTGTCGWGTGGTTTGSAAAGAATGTGTCCATGATCAAGGAGTCCATGATCAGCAGTGTAAGAACTGCAGCTGGACTTGGATGTCCACCTAAGAAATTCTACACTCACAGCTCTGAAAGTAACAATCATGTAATAAAGCACAAGGAGAGATATCAAGAAGTCTCACTCCCTCAGTTTGTGCAAGATATGAAAGAGTTAAGAAAAGACTATGATGAAGAATTTATGAAGRCCATTACAGGCAGAGGCGAATACAAACTGAAATACCCCMACCTTGCTTTGACTACAGATCAATGGTTTGCAATGACATTTAAGCAGAAAGAATCATATGTCAACAAACTGAGAACAATAACAATGGAGGAAGTCTTACAAGGAGAATGCCTTGCAGAACCACAACCACCCAAACAATCATCATTACTATCAGTTTCATGGAAACAAATCAAAAGCCCTCTAGATGATGTCGTTTTATCCAACATATGGAACAAGGCATCAAAGATTGTAAGTTCTGATGGAGCCATACAGAGTGCACCTTTCCTACCAGGGGTGGGAGCAGCCAAAGACTCCACATTTCTTGTAATTAGTGAAAGTGTCCATGACAACTACCATACAGTGAAGTGTGGAAATGAAATTGCTGGAATTGTCAAGTGCTCTTGYCCTGGCTTYAAATCAGTTGCCATTTGCTCCCATGCAGTAGCTGTAAGTGAAAAGAAAAGCCTTCTCAGCAAGTACCTCAACATTTACAGTCATAGCAAAGGTTTAAACATCACTGATGTTAACATCGCTGGAAAGCAACAAAAAAACGTAGGCAGAAAGATGAACAATCCCCGCAAGCGTTTTAAAGGCCCAATGCCAACCGCAGATGTTGTTGTACCATGTCAGAATGTCTTTGGAGTGGCTACCAAGGACATTCAGTCTCAAAACCAACCAACACAGAGCTCTCCACAACTTCCTAACAGGCCATTTTCCTTCCTTGATTTCCTAAATAGTGATTCTATAGAGGGACAACCCACACAAGTGCAGAATGTGAACACCACCGTTGCACCACAGCCATCTCAACTCCAACCTGCCACAAGTACCAGGTAAAATGTTCATTGACAATTATTATTGATTTAAAATATTTATTTGATTATTATACAGTCATGTATATTAATTTAAAAATGGTGAATTAAATTAGCTACAGTAGTAACTGATCAGTTTAGCATTTGGTTATATCAGTTAGCTAGCTYACTGCTGAAATATGTACTTTGTTCTAAAAGCACTTATTATAAATTAATCATGATTGTCATTTTTATAGTGTCCAGTCATGCCAGCCCCTTCCTTCCTCAAGTACTTGGCACAGTGCACAGCCACCTGCTACATGTACCAATACTTCATATAATTTACATTCCTTGCAGCCAGCTCCTGCTACTATAAATGTGCAGTCGTCGCAGTACCCCAATACCAATACTGGGTAAAATATTTTTAATAAAATTGTTAAATCAATATATTTACATGATTATAATAATTGTAAAAAAGTTGTATTTAGGCAGCTGGCGAGTTTTACACGATTACTTTATTCAGAATTATGTTTTGGTATTTTTTTGGTAAATGTGTCTATTCTATAAGCAATAAGTACATTAAAATCATTGTCACTTTATAGTGTCCAGCAATTCCCATCCCTTCCTGCTACCAATACCTGGTATAGTGCACATTYACCTCAACCACCTCCTGCTACCTATGGTGGACATAATGTGCAGTCAATGCAGTCAACCCCTGCTACTAGCAATAGGTATARTGTACAGTCATCACAGTCTGTTGGACCAAAGCCACTTCTCCCAGAGCTCAATGTTCCATACACTGTAGCTATGATATGGGGAAATGTAAAGAAATGTCATGGATGCAAAAATATGTTCCAACCAGCTATCCCCCCAGATGATCAGTACATCTTGGTACGTCCTGAGCCTGATTTTTACATAGACAGACAAAGAAAGGTGTGGCGACTTGGGCGTAAATCCAACAGATATTATCACATGTCTCCTGAGTGTATAAAGAGAAACTTCCCAGCGTGGCCATTGCCACGAATAAATATTCCCACTGACATCCCAGGAATTGTCATAACAGCTTTACAAAGCAGATTTGCACACTTGTAGACATAATGTTAAGGTCAGCACCTGAACACACATAAGATTGTTAATATATGAAGTTTAGATTCAATTGCAATTGCATTTAAGTAATGAAATAAGATACATGCAAATAATAACTAACTGTATACTAGAGTACAAACACTAAAAGTGTGCAACATAAATACCACTGAATTATGCTAATTCTATTGTTTTCTATTGTTTATTTAACACTATTTACTAGTAAATAATGCAAAGCATTGCACAGATTTAGTGTTTGTACTCACTAGTGACTAGTACAGTGCTCATATATGCATGTATCTGCATATG